CGAGCGAGCACCTGGGCGGGAGTCCCCCTCAGCGGCGCCGGCGCCGCCTCCTCTCCCGCGTCGTCATCGCCATTAAGGAGGCGAGCTGCTTCTCGCGAGAGCCCATTCTCATGCTAATAACAGTCACGGCACCGAGAGGCATGGGGTGGGGAGGGGGGGGAATGGTTAAAAAAAGTGGCTTTTCTCTCCTTGCTCGGACGCCCTGGGGGAACAGCGCGCGCCTCGGCATCCGTCACAGCTGCTCAACGACCCCTTTCCAAAGGCACCCTACACAGAGCATATAGGCAAGCACCGTCTTCCTATTTCCCGCCGTCAGCTCCTCTTGAGGCTCCCCGTTGCCCCCCCCCTTGCTTTTTGCCTGCCCGTCCGCCCGCTCGCCTGCCTGCCTGCCTTAGTAGTCGAGGGGGTTTAATGAATGCAAAGTGGAATCCGAGTTCCTTTTAGCAGGGAAAGGCGCGAGCTCCCTCGGAGGCAACTGCCCCACTTTTAATACGGCAAACCACCACCACCACCACCCCCGAAGCCGCTCTTCATGCCTCAGAGAGCGCAGGGCGCTCGGTTACTCTACGGCGGCCTCGGGCGCTCCCCCGTGTAAAAGCTGCGGCGCTGGCCGGCACGCAAATCATCCTCCCCTCCCCGCATCTCCCTCCACGCGCTTCGCTCGCACGCGACCTGTGACGAGCCAAGGCCCGCCCCCTCCCTCACCCACTGACCTAGATATTCGGAATTCCTCCGCGCTGACAAAGCGCTCGCTGGCCCAGATTCTCCGCCGTTGCCGGAGGAACGCGCCTCGGTCTCTGATCTCCGCAGGCCTCGTCCTCTCTCTCGAGGTCACACGGCTGGCGTCGCCAACCCCTTGCCTGCCGAGGGACCAAAAAGGGCAGGGGTCGGCAGGCGTTGTAAGCGTGGCCCGGGCTTTGAAGCGTTGCTCGAAAACGGGGGAAAGGAGGATCCATTAGTTCAAAAACGGGTCCTCGTGATTTCCTATGTTTTTTTTTAATGTGGGACTGTTAGCCCTGGTTTTGATTCGGGACTCCGGCAAGGACGCAGACTAAGATGCAAGACAGCTGATACAAAGCCAATATTTATTTTTTAAAGGAAGTACAGCTGGGCCTTCTACCTCAAAAGCAGAAGAAGGCCTCAAGTAGAAGGTGCATAGATATTTTATAATGTTTTCACACAAAGAGTCATAACGCAAAACGTTCTTATTGGTTATTTGTACCCCGAACTTGAATCTCCTTTCCCATTGGGTCAAGATGTTCTGTAGGCATAGCTTATTGGCTCTGCCCAAATACCCATACCTTGACCTATGGGTCATGTTATACCTTAAAATTCCTGCATGTCTGAGTAGAGGATGTTCCCTAGCTGTTCCTTGGTGCCTCTTTATCTCTTTGATATGTTTATGTTGCAGTTCTCAGGCTTCGGTGTATGGCCTTCAGAACCCCCAATTTCTCTTAGACATATTGAAGCACAAATGGTCGGTTTCCTCCCTAGAATTCCAATGTGGCCATCTGTTCCCATTTGATATTTACACAACTATGCCCTTGGTGAGAGAAAGAGTTACCTTGTTTATGTCAGTGAGACAAATTGCTTATCTTATTGCAGTTTAATGTTTCCTGCTTGACTGGGACTGAAAGGTCCTTGCAACTTAGTATACTTCGATATGGACAATGTTGTGTGGGAGTTTACTTTGCAATAATAAAGGTCTAGAGCTTCAAGAAAGGTCCAATGCATTGAGACACAGATAAATGTAGAATTATAGGTAATTACAGATACAGAAAAATGAATCTTTACTACATAGTAAAATAGTAAAATCTGATGAAAAGGATCTTCAATACATTGTTTATAACATAGATAGAGGATATATATACAGTATATAGAATGTATACTATGTTAGCTGATTTATGGCTGAGGAGTTAATTCAATGTATCGAGATTTTGTGTTGCATGTTATACATATATATGTTACACTCAATCTCTATCCAGCGTATCTATCAGGACCCTCGCCAAACTACCAACAAATCATAGATCCCATCTGGGCCCACAGACTACACCACAGAAATCAGATCCTTCGGCACATGGCTTTGCAGCGGTGCAAAAACATGGATCTGAGTCATGAATCCACATGATTTCTAGATGGAACTCACTCTTAACCACCATCAGATCATAGATGCTATCTGTGACCCCAAATTACAACACAGAAATCACAGGTTCTTGCATTCATGACTTAGAAGTGGCATTAAAAACATGGATCTGAGGCATGGATTCTCATGAATCCAGATGATTTTTACATAAGATCCTCCCCAAACTGCTGCAGTTATAGGCTCCATCTTTGCCCACAGACTACAACACTGAAATCATGGGCCCTTCTGCACATGGCTTTGCAGTGAAGCAAAAATGAGGATCCCAGGCAGAAAATAGTAGGCGTTTGTTTGTATGTGCCAACAAGGCAGAACTGACTTCCAGTGAGCCTGATAGGTATGTGATGTATTTCAGGAGTGGTTTTACCAGTTCTGCACTCCCAGTGAGCTTCTGTTGGAGAACCAGGGAAGTGAACCCAGATCTCCAATTACTCTATCCACTGCACCACACTGGGTATATGCACTCCCAAATTTGAATAGACCATGGAAAAGTGACTGTCTGGCACACAAGTCCTAGAATCCTATGGGCCATTCTGGCAATGGGGATCTGGTAGTTGTAGTCCAAAAAATAAACTTTTCTAAGTACTGCCAGGTTTTTATTACAGCTTCATAAAATCCTTCTTTCAAAATTTTCTGTATCTGTTGCCCAAAATGTAACAGAGAGTTTTTTCTTTTGCTTCTTCCCATGTTCTTTCAATATGTTTTTCCTATGAGGTTCTCCTTAGAAATTGCAGTAGTCTTCTTGTTCTGTGCTGCTGAAAATGTTTTAATAAGTAGGTTTTGCCGTGTGCCTCATTGCTCACCAGGTGTTGCCATGAATGAAAGCAAATTTACAGCCCAAATCCAAAGTGATTAGATTATTTACAGAGATACAAGAGAGGATGATAATGTTTAATCCTGGGGGCCACAATGCCTATTCCAGGGGTCTCCAAACCATGGCCTGCGGGCTACATCTGGCCCGCCTTGCCTTTTTATTGAGCCTGACGAATGCCACGGGGTCAGGTCTGTAGGCTCAGGTCCGTTCCCTTCAGCCCACATGTGCGCACACCTGCAGTTGTGCATATGGACGCAAGTGTATTCCTTCAGCCCTCAAAAATGTGTAAAATATATAATGTGGCCCTCATGCTAAAAGGTTTGGAGACCACTGGCCTATTCCTTGTTCTTAAAACAGGAAGGGACACACATGCACTGGCACAATTGACTCAGATTCCACTTATGGGCATCTTGAATTACAGTTAATGTGGTATTATTCTACAGCTGTGCTTTTTTTGTTTGTTCCAGCAGACTGCACTCATATCACCAGCTTTGATTATTGTCCCAGTGATGCACTTTATTTCTGCCCCAGAAAGATCAAAATCCCTTTTGCAAGTTAAGTTTGGAGGTTTTGAGTAGTATGCCCTTGTGCATGAGTAGTTTGACTGAGAGGGACTTTTCCAGTCTAAGGTGATTTTACAGTACTAAGCAATAATTCTTTCCAGCATTTGAATTCAAAAAGAGCCCCACTTTTCTCCTGAGTGCTCTTTCTCTTTCTTTCTGGTGGCAATTGTTTGTTTGCTGATTATCTGTTTTGTTGGTTGCTAAGTATGTCTGCAAAAAGAAAATAGCATATACAAGTCTATAATTTTAAGCAATTGTAAATAAATACCACATTTTTCCGTGTATAAAACGCCCCCATGGATAAGACGCCCCCACTTTTCTAATCCAAAATTAAGAAATCTAAGTGGGGCTTAGCAAGTGTAGGGGGAAAGAGATCAAAGCACTGCAGGATCGCTCTGATGGCTGCTTTTCCCTCCACTTGTTTTTGTTCTCTCCTCAGCTTAATTCCATGTATAAGACCCTCAATTTTTAGTCTAAAGATTTTAGACAAAAATATATTCTTATACATGAAAAAAAATATGGTAAATGGTTTTTTGGTGTTTTTTTAGTCTTTCTCCTACAAATGTCTCAGTTACTGAGTTACTGAGACTTTAAGAGCCAGTTAGTAGGAAATGGTGAACTGTGGGCAGGTTTTAGTCATTCTCCTCTGTGGATCTCTGTACTTTTGTTGCATGGCAAAAAGGATTTTTTTTCTGAAATTAAAAACTCTGCAACAGTGTGTGTGAGAGGGGGAAGACACAACCATAAGCCTATCTGTATCAGCATGTATAAACTTGGGTGGTGTAGTGGTGAATCTTGAAGTGGAACTGTTCACCACAGCAATCCCCATGACTATGACCCCAGTGGGAACCTGACAATGCAATCAGTTGTGCTGATCTATCTCTGTCAGTCTACTGAGCCATATTATGCCATAATAAATCTGTTACTTTTGATGGTGCCTCATAATTTTCTTTTTAGATCAACCTTAGGCAGAGCTTTGGAATTTTACTCTTTTCTTGAAATACAGCTTGCAGAATCTCCCTGCCACTCTGACCCATGGATTTTGGGAATTATCTTCCAAAAAGTAACTTTTGCAAACTTTGCTCTTTTGTACCATGACTGCATAATAACCTGTGAGATCCTTTTGCAAACTTTGCTCTTTTGTACCATGGACTGTATAGTAACCTGTGAGATTTAAATAGAAAATTGATGCTTGATGAACCTGAGGTAAAAACTTACGAATTATTAAAAAAAAAATCTATAATCAATAAACCCTTTTTTAAGAAAAAGTGAAAACTGAATGGACCTTCATCTTTCCTAAGTAAAGTATGTTGATTTAGTGATCAACTGGTGGCAGTGTGTGAAAAGGTGTTTGGTTTGCCTTCATGTGCTCTGTGTTTGGAAGAGAAACAGGGGCCATGAGGGGCAAACATCACAATTGGTGTCCAGAGGCGGGATACGAAGAAATCCAGTAAAGCCAGAGTTTTGAAAGTGAATTTTCTTGAGTTGTGGGTACCTTTTAGTCAGAGGTCTGAGGTAAAGAAGTGGGTGGCCTGCTAGAGCTTTTGTGGAAAAGCTTAGTGGCAGGGCTTCTAACCCAGATCTGGGAGGACTAAGATAGGGAACGACTCTGAAGGGAAAATTCCTGTGTATTTATCTCAGGATTTGATAGACCTAGTGGCTAGCTTAAGATCCAAGGCTCTAAGAAAAGGGAGCACTGGTGGATAAAAGCAGAAGCCGGGGGTCAGAACAGATCTGAGGGAATAGAAAAAGCAGAGGCTTGAAATAGAAATTAGTTTCAGTGACTGGAATTAGAAGAAAGACGGGTCCTTTTTAAATTCAGTATAAACACACTCAAGACTAAATATGCCACCCAAAAGAACTAAAAAGCCAGTAATTGGGGAAACTGATGATCCTCAAGAGGCATGATCCTCAAGAGGCACAAAGTTTACCTCGGGAAGAAGAGGGAAATGGAGACCCTTTAGCTTCAGTGGAACAGGAGAAAAGTGATGAAAATACCTCAGAGAGACAAAAGGATCTAGGCTCCCAAGCTCACCTGAAATGGCTCTCATCATTAAAAGACAGTAATTAAAGCTAACAAGAGTATGCATAGAAATACCACACTTTAAAAAAAAGGTGAACAAGACAACACTAAAACATTCAAAGTGGTAAGGCACAACGATCCATTTAAAAAACCCCACTCAGGCAACCTTTCACTCAGGGAAAGCTTGCTGAGATTAAGTAGCCAGGTTGTTGATTTGATATGTAGCAAAGGACGTGTGTTGTTTTCCATGTTGGTGACCCCTCTCTTAGACCAGAAAAAGTGGCCTCAGACCGGGATAGGCAAAATGAACCCCCAAGACACTGAGAGATGTTGGGAGGGGGGTTGGTTTGAAAAAGTGTTTTTTCCACTTCTAAGGGACTTCATTAGCTATTTTTATATTATGTAGGTCAA